TTTCAAATACATACATACATACATACATACATACATACATACATACATACATACATACATACACACATGCATGCATGCATGCATACATACATACATAGATGCATGCATACATAGATACAAACAAACATACATACGTGTACATATTTCTTTATATGTAGAGGGAGAGATAAACATATGTGATGTGTGTGTGTGTGTATGTACGTATGTATGTATGTATGTATGCATGCATGCATGCATGTATGTGGGCATGTATGTAATACGTATATGGGTGCTTAATGTGTTCAACAGGAGTTGGGGGGTAAAGGAGACTATTCCGGAAAACTCTTGCTAATGCATCGTACCCCTTGTTGAGGACTCGCAATTGGGAAATTAGGGGTGCCTTCTCCAGCTTTAGGGCCAGCTCCGCACGCTCTGCGTCGGCCTGCAAACGACGGCGGAAGGAGGGGTCCCCTGAGCCAGAAGCCCTTGAAAGCCAGAAGCCGGAAGCCTATGGTTTCGGGCTTTGGGGTCAAGAAGCAACGGAAGCCTAAATGCTGCGCCTGAATGCATGAGCCCTAAGTAGCTGGAGAAAGGAGGTGGAGAGCCTTTACAGCAATGCCGGCAGATTTCTCAACTCCCACAAGCCGGAAGAAAGAACCGGATGACTTCGGTCATACGGGACGACTTCGCGACGAGGGCCGTGGAAAAGCACTGCAACCGCCTCCGGCAGCGTAAGTTGCGTGGCATCGACCTCATCGGCCTCCGCATCCGTGAGCACCCGAACCCAGCGGTGTATCGAACTGCCATATATGGCGTGGAAGCGCGACGCATCCGCATGTGCCTCGACGTCTGTCGAGGATGCAATCGCTCACGATGCGTATGGGTGGGTGAGGGCGTGTGTGTGTGTGTGTGTGTGTGGGGGGGGGTGTAGGATCCAGCTCAAACGAATCCACGTCAGCCATGTGGACCGTCCCAAGATGGCGGTCATGACTCCAGGTCATTCAAAGGCGGCGCCAGGTGAGAGAAGGCCTAGTCGCTGGAACACCTTGCCAAGGCAGCGGCATCACAGTCTGCTCGACTCGACCCTAAACACAAACCCATCGTCGTTAACTCCTTACGTATCAGAAAAGGGGTTCAGAAGTTCACTGCTTCATTCTTCAAGGTTGGAGGATTGCAAGACTTTTGGATTCAGGATGGATGATATATGGGAGCCTCAATGATTAAATTAGAAAATGTGTTGGTTCTCGGCTACGATGGTCATACTGGGAACTTCTCAGGAGTTTCTACCTTCTTTAGCCCCAATCGCAGCCCTTAAAACTCACAGTGCGAGTAGCTCTTAGAGGGCCCTTCAGAAGGAACCCTTTCGAGCAACCGCTATTCCCATTAAGCCCTGGCTCTTGGTAGGGAATGGAGAAATGAAACAAAATGATTTAGGGTTTAGGGTTTGAGGGTCTAGGGTTCAGGGTCCGGGGAGGTTTAACCCTATTGGGGCCTACTTGTCCAGCATCCTCAAGGTCCACCTGTAAAGGTGTCATGGATTTTAGCATCCCCCAGAAGGTCACAGGTTACCGACTCTACTACTACGTAAGGCTTCCAGAGCTCCACGGATCGGGGAGGCGACCTGCTGCTGCTCTTGCTGGAGCTTTTGGTGGTCCTCAGGGCTGAGGGTGTTGCCAACCCTGTCGGGTTTAGGGGCTTGGGGATTTAGGCTCCAGGGTTTAGAATTTTCGTGGTTAGGCTCTAAGCCTCGCGTCTTGAAAAGTAGGCTCGGGATTTGGGTTTGGAGTTTAGGGAACAGAGGAGATTGCTTGGCTCCATCCAGACTGGGGCACGGAATGACTGGGGAAGCTTTGTCATGACCTGTCTTATAAGAATACGGATTGGGGGCTTGGGGCACCTCGGGGTTTCACGTTGTTCAGGGTTTCCTCGACCCTGGTGCTCGCTGAGCTCTGACTCCGTTTCGACAGCCCCTTGCTGACGAAAGGCAGGGCAGCTGAGCTGCTAAAGCATCGACACGACGCTGCACACTGCAGGGTCCGTGTGAACAACGAGCATTTTCCCCAAAAAAGCGCACGGTCTAGGGTTTACTTCAAGAAGGAAATCTAGTCTAGTTGAGACTTATCAGGGCTCTTTTTGCGAAACAAACACCGTCAGCCTGAGCCTAAGCTCTTAAGACGGCTTCGGGAATGGAACGAGCCTTGCAGTTGATGGCATTATGGGGTTGATACACAACTCGGGATTCTGCGTGGGGCCGTTGGTCCCCCCAAACGACCTACCTCGAAGTCCCTGAAACTCACACCCTCGGTCAAGTCTGAATTTGGGTTTTTGCTTCGCATTGATGTTGATGAGCACAGTCCTGCTGCATGTTCCAGAAATCCACCCGCAAGCAACCGAGTTGGTCCTGGCGAACAGAGACGGAAGCTGCCAGGTGGTCGTGGGTTCAAACACGAGAAATCCTGCAACCTGCAACCTAATCATAAGAAGTGGGCTCTCGTTCCTGCAATAGCCAATCCCTAACTTTAATGGTCCAAGTGCCCAAATCATCTTCAGAGTATGCAATTTAGAACCCAAAACCCAACTGCCTGGGCAACTTGGAGGGTTGGGTCCAGGGGCTAGCCTTGAAACACTACACCCAGAAACGTCCCTACACTCCCCCACCCCTACACCTCAAAACCCCAAGTCTACAGCCTTTCGCAGCTTGTTTCATCCTGTGATCTTGAGATCTCTGGTGAAGCCTTGGACGACAGAACACCCTAAATCCGAATGGTAAACCCCAACGCCCAGACCTCAAGACCCGAAACTCAAAACCCCGCGAACGAAAACAACTCTCTACAAAGCCCAGGCCCTAACCAACAAGCACAAAGAAACCTCACAACATCCGATGCAGCTGCACATGGCTCTTGTCGGGTTCTGTCGGGAGCATCTCGCATCGACAGGAAGGTAAATGTCTAGCAGTCCACCCCAAATCCTTCTCTGGCAAGCCGTACGCCCCAAAAACTCCTTCTTTTGTGACTTCAGTTTCAGACAATATGGGGTAGTAGTATAGACCCCACAGACTAGGATCCCACGAAGGGCAATACCTAACCGGACCTAACCCAGAGGCCTTGATGATTATTTTGGGGTTTGGGGGTGTACGATGGTATGCGATTACTATTCATTCCAACCCCCATGTTGCAGGAATCTAGACATGCTGAGTGCCTTGCAATCAGTCAGGATCTGCTACTTCAAAGATCACGGGACTTAGTGCTGCTCTGGCGTGTGCCGGGCCGGCTTTACCAGCATCGATGCGGGCTTCAGCCCATGTGCAGACTTCTTCTGCTCCTCTAAGGAGGCTTCTGCGTCGAAGACGTTGTTCATGACGTGTTGTTCTCCGCCCAGCTCTTCGGAACTGCCACGGTGATGCGGCCCCTCACGAAGCCACCTGTCAGCCCCGGTCGGATCTGCCGAAGAACTGTTTTCACTTTGGCCTTTGTCAAGGGTTGGATCCATGTCAAGGGGGTGAGCTCGTATAAGAACTGTATAAAACCCTATGAACTGCGATTTTAGCGGTCTGGATCAGGCTGAGGGGAATTAGGATTTTTTGTGTGTGGAGCAGAAGCAACACCGGGGCTTAGGTTTACAGAACTAGGCTTTAGGATTAAGCCGATTAGGCTTTTGATTTAGGCTCCAGGGCTTAGGGCGAAGGAACTTACAGGCTTTAGGATTGAAGGGCTTTCAAGGTCGAAAGACGTTGGGTTCAGGACGTGGGGTTAGGATGTTCAGGAGATTTATATCGGTTTTGGGATTAGGCTTAGGGCTTTCGTAATCGATCAGCACATTGTCGCTTGTAGTGGCCTTGCAAAACCTCTCCACCCACAGCCCCTGCTCAACTTGATGCTACTATAGACCCGTAAAGAAACCCATTAAGACCTACCTGACTCGGTACAAGGCAAGAAGACCTCCATCAGTCGCATCATCTGCTCGTACTTCACTAGGACGCTGTTGTCTGGTGCAGCCATCTTGCCTTCTCAAGGCAAGGGTCTGGGGTATGGCAATTTTGCGCTTAGGGGTGTAACGTAAGATTTCCGACAAACTCCAACACGCCTCAATTCGGGATTGAATGGGAACTAAGGAACGTTCCTCTCCCCAGTAAGGAAAGCCATAAACTGTCCGAGTGGCCTGCCGAAATACCTGCTTGGAGGACTCGTATCGGGCGCCTAGCAGCCGGTCGATCTAGAGCGTCCTGAGAGTGACAGTTACCTATAGACCCTGAACCCTGAGATTGGAGTAAGGAGTTGATGGCCGATGTCAAACATCGAAAGCCCGAAAACCAGCAACAAACCCCAAATCCTACACAAAGAGGGTTCTGACAATGCCAATTTTCATCCTCCCTAAATCCTGAACCCAATAACATCCAAGCACCCTAAGCGCCCCAAACAGGCCTCCTTTGGCCATCTGGCTCTCGAGGTACTGCTTCACCTCGAAGAAAGCCAATAAGCAAATAAGCAAATATTCCTTTGTGTTATATTGTACTAGCTTATACATATTATATATATATATATACACACATACATATATAATATATATGTTATATATCTTTGTTGTAGAGGCCTTAGTAGGAGGAGACGCTGCTGGGGTACAGTACGGTTTCATGATAATGAGGAACCCTGAGGAGTAGTGTTGGTCATTCTTCAGGCCCCTGAGGCCTATACTAGCTAGGCACCGACTGCGGGGTTGTCAAATAAGAGAGGCTAAAGCATCTTCGATTGAACATTTGGGGATGTCAGATAACGGCGGGCATGCATATACACCGCTAATTTAACTAGTTGGACCCATAGTGCAAGGGTCATCTAGTTTGAGAACCCATTTAAGGGAATTAAAGGGATTGATGTGACCTCGAACCCTTGCGTTTTTTTCTGTGGGTGCTGCGGGAGCGCGGTGCATTTTCTGTTTGGTGGTGTCGTCGTTTTTCACTCACTTGCCACAGGAGCACCCACAGCGAAGAAGCGCCCACAACAAAAAGCAAAAACGGTTTCCATCCCAACCCTGAACCGTAACCCCTCAACCCCAAACCGTCAGCCCTAGTTGGGCTCTCGCTTTGTTGGGAGATTTCTTGCGCCTCCAGGAGCTCCTTCACCCTCGCGGACTTCTGATCAAGCTTCTGCTGGAGGTCATCCAGCTCTTTCTGGTGCGCCTGGTCCAGGGGTGCCAAGACTTTGCAACACCAATTTGGGGATAGATTACAGTCCACATCTGCTCTTTCCGGAGTAGATGAGGGCGGCCTGATGATTGGAACGGCACCGCTTTTTAGGCGGATTGTAGTGTACTGAGCATACCACTCCAACAACAATGATTCACCGGCTCTTAGTAGGGAATCGGGGAATGGATCCCGACAGTCTCTCCCCTAAACCCTATAAACCCTAAGCTTCCTTCTAGTAGTGCTATTAACCCATTCTACCATTTTTCAGTAAGAACCCGGGAGTGACAACGCCGGTCATCTGCCGGTCTGGCGAGCTCGCGTCTCAACAGGCTGAACATGGACTTGAGGGGTTTAAGGGTATTGGGATTTTGGGGTTTAGGGTTTAAGGGTTTTGGGGGTCTAAGATGATTCAAGGTTTTTCGGCTTCAGGGAGGCTGAGGGTGGTGAGTATTCGGTACACAAACACTATGCTCGAACGCCATCCCCACCCGCTCTCGTCAATGGTCCCCCTGGTTATGGACAGTGTTTTGGACCCCATGATCTCACTCTGCTCCAAGCCCCTGCAGATGCCAACGGACACCGTGAGCCCCACCAACCGAACTCCCCAGCATGATATCTTTCAGTTCTTGGCAAAACCCCTCATCCCTGAGCCCCAGAAACAAGAAAAACCTCGGGCACTAAGTAGGGGTCGGAATATTTCGGAATGGAATCCTCTCATAGTACCAATGGCAAGGCGTACCAGAATAGAGCTAAGCCCTACTCAGCTAGTAGCCCCTTGTAGCATTCCCTTCCGACGCCTCGGAGATCAGCCGATCTATCTGGCCTTGGCGGCTCTTTGGACTTAGACGTTTTTGCGTTTATGACCTATAGAACTTATGAGGGGCCTCGGTTTAAGGATGCCCAACGTATGAAGAACCCCGTCACGCATCCTGCCAACCCTATTCCTAAGTCAGACTGGCTCACGTGACCAGACATGCCGAAAAGTATCCGGGCTATACTCTTGAAAGGCTTATTTCCCGAGATCCTATCTGGAAGCCTTTGCTGATTCCTAGGCTCCGAATCTGAACGCCCACAAAATCTCACCAGTGCCTTGGGACTCAAGGTTTCAACGCTTTAGCCCCTGCACCGAGGCCCTTCCGATACCTTGACCACAAGAATTGAGGGCCCTGTTTAAGTACACAGCCTGACGCTCAGAGAGGACAGACAAGGGCCTTACAACTAGAGGACACACAAGCGGGGGTAGGTTTGGTAGTTCGTGCATTGGTGTTGTTGTTGTGGTGGTGGTGGTGGTGGTCGCAGTAGTAGTAGCAGTAGTAGTAGTAGTAGTAGTAGTAGTAGCAGCAGCAGCAGCTGCTGCGGCAGCAGCAGCAGCAGAACAGTAGCAGTAGCAGTAGTAGTTGCAGCAGCAGCAGCAGCAGCAGCAGCAGCAGCAGCAGCAGCAGCAGCAGCAGCAGCAGCAGCAGCAGCAGCAGCAGTAGCAGTAGCAGTAGCAGTAGTGGGAGGAGCAGGAGCAGCAGCAGCTCTGCTGCAGCAGTAGTGGCAGTAGCAGTAGCAGTAGCGGTAGTGGTAGTGGTAGCAGCGACCGCAGCCGTAGCCGTAGCCGTAGCCGTAGCCGTAGCCGTAGCCGTAGCCGTAGCCGTAGCCGTACCCGTACCCGTAGCAGTAGCAGTGGCGGTAGCAGTAGCAGCAGCAGTAGCAGGAGCAGGA